CTCCGCAGATCCGCGCCGTGCTTCCCGCCGTGCTTGGGCTCCGCCTTCCCCCGGGCCGGTCCCGGCCCAGCCGCTCCCCCCCCACCGGAGCCGGTGCTTCGGTACCGGTTCCCCTGCGGTGCAAAGCCTGGGCCTGGCGCGGCAGCGCCGGGGCAGTGCGGGCCGGCAGCAGCTCTGTGGAGCGGAGAGGCCGCTCTCTGCCAGGCCGGCTTGGTACCGGCTCTGCCCAGAGCCCGCTTGGGTCGGTACCGGGCTCGGGTCGGTGCCGGTTTCCCGTTCATCCATCTCTTCCCCAAGCCTGGGGCGGTTTGACTGATCTGGGGCATGAGGGTGGCTCGGTCCTGGGTCCCTAAATGGGCCTGGCAGTGGCCACCCTCCTTCCAGGGCTGCTCTGGGCTCTCACCGCCCCGGCCGGGGGCTTCTCCCCAGCTCTGGGGTCGGCGGTGGCCGCGGTTGGGTTGTCGGGTCCCGGTGCGTCGGGTCGGTCCTGCTGCGGCGCTCAGGCCAGGCACGGCTTTGGCAAGAGGTGCCCGACTCCTCCAAGGAGCCACCGAGGTCCTGGCGGGGACCCCTGAGCCATGGGGGATCAGGAGGGTTGCGTGGGACTGATTTATCCCACGGCTTTTCCATCGTCTGCCCCCAAATCCGGTTTCATTCCTGGGGATGGCTCCAGAGCCATCCACTTCCACAGGTGTCCTCACCGGGGTGGGGGGTGCTCCCCGAAACGGTGGGAGAGGGCCGCGAGGAGGTCGGCCTGAGCCGCGGGTGCCGGGGAACGGCTCCCAGCCCCGCAGAGCAGCACAGACCCAGCACCCTTCGTGGAGCCGGCGGGTTGGATCTGCCCCTCGCTCGGGAGTGGGTGCCCTGCAATTCAGGAGGGTTTTGCTGTGGGTCGATGGCTTCCTTAAAGAGAGCAGATGTTTTGTGCTCTAAGGCTTCTCCTGGATGTTTTTCCAGCCTCACCAAAGCTGCCTGGAATGGTTTCATTCTCACTGTTCACATCTGGCACCCCTCCAGTTGGGGATAGCCCAAATTATCACACATCTGTGCAAAACGACCGAGCTCTGAGAGCTCCCTGGTCCCACATAACCCACTCCCCACCCTGACATTAAACACGCCCCGTCTCTTGCTTTATTTTTTGGCCTTTTGGGGCTCCCGGAGTGTTTTAGAGGTGGTGCAGTGGCAGGGGCTGCCCACCAGAGAAGCGCAGCGTGGCTCAATGCGGCGGAGCTGGGATGGAGATGCAGGAGGTGGGTAGGAGTTGCCTTGGTAACGTTTACGCTGCTGCGGGTACATTTTGGTCTCTTAAACAGAAAATACAGTCCTGGATTCGCAGGAGGATGAGGTGAATTGTGAATGTCTTGGGGATTTTGGTTTTCTTGAGAAACGCTGTAATGTAATTGAATTCTTCCTCTGCTTTCAGGGCTATTCGGAGTCCCCAGACCTGGAGTTTGAATATGCAGATACTGACAAATGGGCAGCAGAGCTCTCTGGTAAGGAACTCGTCTTGATGGATCGATTAATCAGCCGTGGTTTTCTTTCTTGGTAGTGATTAAAGGAGCTCTGTCAACTCCAGCACCACTCTGTTATTGTCTTTAAACACCTTATTCATGTTAAACGGGAAGTGATATCGTGTAATTAATTTTTTTAGCCTTATGCTGGGTGTGGTTTTTGCATTTCCCTCGTCTTGGATAAAACTGCAATTAACGTGGCCAAGTTGCAGCTTTCTCCAGCGGTTCGGTGCAGGTTGTTGGAGATTTTCCTCTGTGCTCTTTCGGCAGAGCTGTACAGCTACACGGAAGGGCCGGAGTTCCTGCTCAACCGCAAGTGCTTTGAGGAGGACTTCAGGATCCACGGTAAGACCCTTCTCTTGGACCTCTCGCCACTCCGGGGAGGGACAGGGATCTCCCGAAGCAGACATGGGGATTGATGCGTTAATGCTGCGTCAGAAAGCTCGAGCACTGGCAATTTTCATGCGGTTTGTACTGGAGGCCTCATTAGTGTGCGTGGGCAGGCCCTGGAGCGCAGCTCGCTGCCTCCAGCGCGTTCAGTGTTTGCTGATGTCGATCTCCGAGGTGGTTCATCGGCGCCTGGACGGCTGTGCTGGAACATACTGGCAGCAGCAAGAGCATCCAGCTCATTTCCCATCAGCTGCCAGTGCCGGTTCAGATGGATGTGATTCATCTAGCCGTCTGATGGAAGGCAGGAGACGGTCTGTCGGGGCCAGTCACGCATGCCTGGGTGTCCCTCCCAGGAGCACAGTGTTCCCTGGGGCAGCCCTGTTTTCCGTCACGCTCAATCCTTTCGAGCTGTTCCTGCAACGTTTGTGTCCAGGGCAGGCAGAGGTGCCCGTGCCCTCAGCCTTCCCTGCTTTGGCTTTGCAGTACGGGACAAGAAATGGACCGAGCTGGACAAGAACCAGCACCGCACTCACGCCATGCGGCTTCTCGACGGGCTGGAGGTCACCGCGCGGGAGAAGAGGCTGAGGGTTGCCCGAGCCATCCTTTACGTTGCCCAAGGTGATGCCAGGCCTCTGCCCGCTTAGTTTCCCTATTGCTAAATCTGAGTAATGGATTGGAAGCTATGACTTTAAAATATTTAAAATCATTTTCTTTCCTTGCATTTTTGATTTCACCTGGGATGTCTGGAGGGAAGCTAATTCTTGTGGGAGCCAGACAGTTTATAGGATTTTGGTCCAAAATTTAGCTGACTTCCCCCTGCTATCCTGGCTCTGCCAGGCCTGGGCTGCGTTAGCCACAGGAGGGCAGTTCCGTCCTCTGCATCTGACTTTTTGCCTTAAAATTAAGCCTGTGTTCTTCTTTCCCCCTGCAAAGTGCTCTGGCGGTGTGGGAGGGCCTCGGGATCCCTGCGGAGGTGGGATCCAGCGAGGGTATCGTTGCAGGCACGTTTGGGGAGTGCGGCTCCGAGGCCGAGGTGCAGGCTTGGATGAGGTATAACATCTTCCTCTTGCTGGAAGTGGGGACGTTCAACGCTTTAGTGGAGCTGCTGAACATGGAGATTGAGTGAGTACTGGGGGAAAGCACTTCAGAAATGGCTCAGGAGCTCCTTGGCAGGGGTTTATCCAGTTTGTGGCAGTCCCATTCCTGGTCTGTCTATCCCTAATCTGATTCCTGCAGCCACCGGAATGACTCCCATTGTCCTGGGTGGATATGTAATGTAGGATTATACCTGATTTATACAGAAATTCGCTATGAGCCATGCTGTCCGGCAGCAAATAGAGATGGCTCTGTTCCTCCTCCTTCGATTGCACTGTGAACAGAGAAATCGTTGCAGCAATATCTATTCCAGGGTTTGGCTCTGGCATGCGGGTTGTTCGTGGCAGAGTTAGAACATCTCCCAAGGCCCCTCTGAGGCTGTTTTCCCTCCGCAGTAACAGCGCGGCTTGCAGCAGTGCCGTGAGGAAGCCGGCCATCTCCCTGGCTGACAGCACGGACCTGAGGTACGGAGCAGGGCTTGGGAGGAGGCGATGCTCTGGGGGTGAGAGGGGGACCCCGTGTTTGCTGGTTTCTTTGGTGGGCTGAGGGAGGCCAGCAGGCACCGGAGGGTGTCCCAGGGCTGTCCCAGCTTCTGCCCCGGCTCCGTGAGCATCCTTAGGTGCTCTTGGGTCTGCTCAGCCAGTAAATGTCCCCTGTGCTCAGCCTGCGCAGCAGGCACGTGGCTTCTCGGGGACATGAAAGCAGTGAAGTACAGGAAAGTGATTTTTATTTCTTTTTTTCCCCCTGCTTTGACCTGGAGAGACTTTTTTCCCCCAGTGCCAGGGGATTCAGCCTCCCCCAGAGCCCTGGGTGCCGGTGGTGCCTCCATAACTCATCCCAACCTCCGGTGATTCACCTGACCTTTTGCTTTTTGCAGGGTGCTGCTGAACATCATGTACCTGATCGTGGAGACTGTTCGACAGGAGGCTGAGGGGGACAAGCCCGAGTGGAAGAGCATGAGACAAACCTTCCGAGCCGAGCTGGGTGAGGACCAGGCGCTTGGGGGTTGATGGGATAGAAGTTTCCAGGGCTGAAGAGCAAGAGAGTGAGGTGGGGTTTGGCTCTAGGCCTCGGTTAATAGGGACTGGCAGCACTGGGTTGGTTTCTGCTAGGCTGAACCTTGCTGGTGGGGCAAAGGGGGATGAGCAGAGGAAGCCAGCCAGCCTTTTCTGCTGTCTGCGTGCTCTCTCCCTGGGGAAAAAAATTGGAATATTGAGGCTGTCGTTTCCTCTCAACACAGAGGTAAGAAATTACGGAGGTTACAAAGTCTTGGAAAGTAAGAGAGGAGCTGTCTGAGGTGAGATGAGGATCTCAGAGATGGGGGTGCCAGACCGCAGAGGCTGTGGGAGGGTGAAGGGGCTGGTGGTGCTGGCGGTGAGGACAGGGACGAGGAATGCCTGGCTATTGCTGCCATGTGGTTCCAGGAGCCCCCCTGTACAACAACGAGCCCTTCTCCGTCATGCTCTTTGGGATGGTGACCAAATTCTGCAGCGGCCATGCTCCACACTTCCCCATGAAGAAGGTGCTGCTCTTGCTCTGGAAAACTGTGCTGGTAAGGAGAGGCTGTGGGGTGTGCCAACGCACGTCTTGTGGTTTGACGTTCGGCAGAGGAAGGAAGTTCTGCCCTCTGAGCTGGCTGTAATTGCTCCATCCTCTTTCTCTGGGGTTCAGCTGAGTAGTTTGCACCCTATGAAAGCCACGTCCAGGTTTCACCCCATAGGGGAGCATGGGATATTGGTGTCTGGAGCTGGACACCAAGGACGGACCCAAAGCAAGGTCCCTGGCTGGGGTCTGCATGAAAGAAAATGCCCAGATGCTTCAGTTGTGGATGCCTGAACCCCCTCCTGTCCCTTCTGCCTGTCACAATGACGAGAGCAGCGTGGGGACGGGCACCTCTTGGTTTACACCCTGGGGAGGGATTTGGGACACGTGGAGAGTGGATTTGGGGAGGGCAGGTGGAGAAGCCCCTGGTGCCGTGTGTCGAGGAGCCCCCCGTGCTCAGGGTGCCGTGCTCTCCCTTGCAGTGCACCCTGGGGGGCTTTGAGGAGCTCCAGAGCATGAAGGCAGAGAAGCGGGAGATCCTGGGCCTCCCGCCGCTCCCGGAGGACAGCATTAAAGTGATCCGCAACATGCGAGCTGCCTCCCCGCCCGCATCCGCCTCCGATCTGATCGAGCAGCAGCAGAAGCGAGGCCGGCGGGAGCACAAGGTGAGGCCGGCGCAGGGAGCTGGGGACGGTGACATTAAGGAGGGGATGGCTGGGGTCTGGGCACTGACCTTGGAGCAGCTTGTCCCCAGGATGTTCACCTGCCCGCTCTTCTCTCTCCAGGCCCTGATTAAGCAGGATAACCTCGATGCCTTTAATGAGCGAGACCCTTACAAAGCTGATGACTCCCGTGAGGAAGAGGAGGAAAATGATGATGACAACAGCCTGGAGGGAGAGACCTTCCCCCTCGAACGGGATGAAGTGATGCCTCCCCCCATTCAGCATCCCCCCAGCGACCGCATCACCTGCCCCAAGGGGCTGCCTTGGGCCCCCAAGGTCCGGTGAGTCCCTGGGGCTGACCTTGGGCCAGGCTGTGGGGAGAGCTGGAGCCGACTGAGGAAAACGGAGGCTGTTAAATATTGAGAACTTCAGCAGGGGTGCGGGGAAGATGGAGTGGTCGATCTGATGGTTGCTTTGGTGGCTGTTCTCTCGGTGGAGTGGGCTCAGCACCATCTCCTTTATCTGACCGCGAGGCTTTTCCTGACACCCTGTGCCTGGGGCTGTGATGTACCCGGGTGGACAGGAAGATGCGACTCTTCCCCTTGTCCCTTTGCTGCAGAGAGAAGGACATTGAGATGTTCCTGGAGTCCAGCCGCAGCAAGTTCATCGGCTACACCCTGGGCAGGGAGGGTCCCCCAGAGCGGGGCGGGCGCTCTGGGGGGGGGGTTGGGGGGGAGGGCG